AAGAGTTCTAGGATTCTCTGAGGACTGAAGCTGTCTTTGAATCACTAGTCCTACTCTATTTTCATTAGCAGACTGGATCAAGGAGTTGATCTCTCAGGATCTCTTGCCTCTAACACTTTTCCATTTTGAATCTCACTTTTTTGAAACAAAGAGGCTTCCTGGAAGCAGCATGACCAAGTGGGAAGACCATGGGACCCAGGATCAGGATTCCAGTCTGGGTTTTGTGAAGTATTGGTTATGTGGCATTGAAAGAATGGCTTACTTTTATGACCCTCATTACTCCCACTTGAGAAATGGAGTGCACCAGTATGGTGGATGGTTGTGAGAACTGTATCATTTGTGATAGGAAAATGCTTGGAAAATAATAAAATGTTCGCCGGGCTCAGCCTGTAATCCCATGCCTTTGGAAGACTGAGGTGAGTGGATTGCCTGAGCCCGCGGGTTCAAGACCCGCCTGGGCAACTTGGCGAGACCTCATCTCTACAATAAATCAAAAAATTAACCAGGCGTGGTAGCGTGCGCCTGTAGTTCCAGTTACTTGGATGGCTGAGGTGGAAGGATCGCCAGAGCCCAGTAGGGCGAGGCTGTGGTGGCCAGGAGCGGCCACTGCACTCCAGTCTGGGCAAGAGAGTGAGAGTCCCACTCAAAAAAAAATAAAAATAAAAAATAAATAAAATGTTCATTCAACACCTATTTCTTCAATGCCTACCATGATCCAGGCTCTTTGACGGTCACAGGAATACAAGCATAAATAAGATATCATTGTCTCTCTTAAGGAATTTATGGTCCAATGGGGAAGATGAACTCAACAATTACTACATCTTGTGCTATAGCCACTCTGATGAGGGTGCAGTCAATGCTAGGGGAGCAGAGGAAAAACACCTACCTCTCATATTCAGGGAGTACAAATCCTCTTCCACTTCCTGGAGATGTTTAGACAATTTTAACGCCACAATTATCATCATTGCCACCATAATCACTGGCTTGTTTATTCAATGTTCACTCGCCTCTGAGGATTTTGCTGGGCCATTTACAGACATTAGTTCATGTATGCAATCTCAAAAGTCACAGTTGTTATTTTCATGCAAGGGGGACCCAGAAAACCCTGGAATTTATTTATAAAAATTGTGTATTTATTCATACATGTTTAAATTTTGTCACCTTCAAAATACTCTTTGTTTGATGTGATACACCTATCAAGACACATCTCCACTGCTCAAAGTCGTTTTTTAGCATGTCGATTTTTATACATTTTAGTGCTTCTGCTGTTTTTTGTTTCACCTCTTCCACACTGGCAAAACGTTTCCTTTTGAGGAATTTTTTCATCCAGGAAAACAAAAAAAAGTTGTTCAGGGTAAGATCAGGTAAATAGGGAGGGTAAGGCATGGGGGTCATGCCATTTTTGGTCAAAAACTGCTGAACACTCAGTACAGTGTGGTCAGGTACATTCATAGATCACCCATCATGAAATGGGCAAACGCGTTGAAAGAAACTCTAAAAATAAAAATGAAAAATTCACTGAAGCTGAACGCAACCTCTCACAACAATGCTAGTTGGTACACTGATGCCAAAGTGTTCTTAGACCACTTACCTAACAGAGGAAGTTTGTACTACAAGGGGCTCACCCTCCAAAAAGTAATTTTTTTTGGGGGGGGGCCCTCATACAGATGGTAAAACAGCAGCCCAGAGATGTATTTTAAAAAGAAAAATTTAGAAGGTCACATAGCCTTTAAGGAGTACAGCCAAAACTTAAACCTAACTATAAGTTCCAAAGCCTCTGTTCTCCACACTATAATCTCATTGTTCTGTGCAACTCCATGGGGCAAAGCTGAGAATGACAGGAGACATCACTAAGAAACAAATTTTATCTAAAGAGAAAGAAGAATCTTCTAATGAAGGACCCAAGAATGTGGTAAATTACCTGGGAAGGTAGTGAGTTTCAGGTCACAGAGGTGTCCTGGAGCAAGCTGGTGATCTGACCAAGACATTGCTGAGGGCATTCCTATCTGGGGGCAGAAGCATCTCTAAGGATGCAGTTATTTCTGATTAAGTCCTGTTGTCAAGGGTGATGTTCCTTTCCAAATTTCTCAGTAAGGGCTAGAAGAGCTCTGTGGGCACAGCAATCTTACCAATCTTTCCTTCTTGGTAATCAGCCATTGGGAAGAAGACAGTATAGGGGCCTGCTGGAGTTTTCTGTCAATTAGCCCATAGGGCAAATTGGTGAGGGATACATTTAGCTAAAGTAACAAAACTGACTCCAGCCACTTAAGCAAAAAGGGAATTTATATGAAGAGCTTCAGAAGCAAAAACTGGGGGCCAGAGTTGACAAACAAATAAGTAACTGAGTGGCTCTAAAGGGCAGGAATATTCTGTCTTTGTTTCACAGTAACACTGCCACACACATTCCTGCCACCTTGTGCCACTCAGTCCCAGGTGTAAGTCCTGCACAGGAATGACTTTGCCTATCCCTAGATTCCCTGTACTTCCTTGGGTGCCAAGTCACAAAGAGGGAGAATCTGGTTCATCTGGCTTCTGTGGTGGGAGACAAGGCAGAACCATAGCCTTGTTATCTTGTAATGATGGAGGAGCAAGTCCAACCCACCCAGCCCCCCATCTAATAACAGGGTTAGATGCGGGCATTCCCCAAAGAATGTGGACAAATGTCTACTGTAGTTAGGAGGGAACAGATCTTGGATTTGAATCTGCCTTATTCCCAGACTGGAGGAAGAGATAAGAGGTCATTCCTGACCACTATTGTCCACTCCAACCTCCTATGGACTGAAAAACTGTTAGTCTATGTCTCTCATATAGGACACAGCATAAAATAATAATGAAGTAAAATTTTTTAAAAACACAAAGTTTTTGAATTATTGTTATATACCAGAACCTGTGCTAAACTAAGTTTGCTACATGCCTTATTTTAGTTAATTCTTACAACATTGTTCTGAATTATAAATGGATGCAAACCTATAAGCATATCTTCTTTCTCCTGTTAGATTATATCTTTCATGAGGGCAAGGAAAATCTCTTATCTGTCGCTCTATCCCAGATCACTACCATGAAGCTTGGTGTATTGAAGGTGTGTTCTCAGTATAACTTTGATGAATTACTGGATTTAACTCTTGCCTTATCCTTGTTCCACAAACCAGTCTCTCCTCCTCAATTTACTTACACATTCTCAAAGGCAGAAAGCTTGCCTTAAACTGCTTGTTCCCTAGGAGAGCATGGATATCAAAGTTGGGTTGTCCTGGGTTTGAAGACGCTTCACCATATATGGGTTGAATGAGCCTAGGCAGGCTTCAGATGAGTGTGACTGTGAGTCTGACTGTCTGTCTGTCTGTCCTTAATCACTCTCCTGAGTAGAATCTTGCAGATAAGAATATTGAAGAACTGCATAGTACATCTGCATATCAAGACATTAATCACAGCATTGAATGTTTTCTTCTTGAAAGAAAATTTATAGCATAGTTAGAGGAGAGCAGAGTAAGAAGAGCTATTGGTAAGATTTTGGACTTTAAGAATCAGGTTGACCTGAGCTCCAATTCTAATGTAGCGGGAAGACAGAGAGATCATGACACCAAGACTATTATAGGAAGTGGCACTTTATTACGCCGACCCAGCTCGGTGGGCTCAACGGGCTAATGCTTCCAGGTCGAACCCCGCAGAATGGAAGAAGAGGGGTTTTATACCTTCGTTTAGGTAAGGGAGGGGGGTCGTGTTGAGCGATTACACATCTTCTTTGGAATTTACAAAAATCAGATCTTTCAAAGGACAAATGGTCTCCAGGAACTGCAGGATGAGTAGGGCCTGCAAGCAGGGTTGTACACTGTCAACTTCAAAAGAGGGGTTTTGGATAAGTCTGTGAATTAGTTACTCTTTTGCATTTCCATGAAAGCCGCCAGTCCTTGGCTATTTGACTTTTTTAAACAAAACTGGCCAGGAGGGTCTTAGGGTCTTTAGAGCTTACTGCTTGACTTTCAAAAGGAAACACCTTTAACTGCTACCAACCCCCTTCCTGCCACATCACTAACTCCACCATATAGTAGCTCTGTGACTTAGAGGAAGTTACTTATGTTTTTTGAGCTTTTGTTTTCTCATCTGTAAAATGACAATGTGAAGCTTTTATAGGATAAAAGTGAAAATGAAATGAGATTATCTGTGTAAGGATACATATAGCACTTATTAGATGTTGCTGCACTTACCACTGTAGGTCAGAAAGAAAAGATGGAAAGGACTGCATCTAAAGGCTAACGTACTTATCTTTAGGTGACGGGAAGGTGATGATTCTTTTTTCTTTCTTACTTTCTACATTGTGGACTATTATTTTTCATTTTAAAAAGTGATTTTAAAGTCAGTCGATCCTCTTACCAAGCAAATTTTACTTCTGGGAAATTGTACTAAGAAAAAATTCTGAAATGCGAAAAAAACTTTAGGGATTAAAGTTTTCAATAGTACATTTTGAAAATAGTGCAGCACTGAAAATAACATAAATGTGCTACAGTAGAGAAATGGCTAAATGAATGATGGAAGATTCATACAATGGGATAATATGTCATATTACAGCACTATCACAAAGGTAAGTAATTACAAAAAGTTTAGTAACAAAGAAACATACTCGTGTTGTCATGGAAAATGAAAAAGGGACCCATTTGGAAGTTCAAGGTCAAGAAGTAAGTTGCCTAACCAGGAGGGCAAGCATCAGTGACCCCCTCTGTTTAGACCAGAGAGGATGATTGGTATCCAGATATCACTGCTCTCATGAAAATCCTGAAACAGAGGGGACATTGCTTTGTCAGCTCCTCACTGCTGGGGATGGATGGTGGGGAGACTGCAAGCCATGTTGGAAGAGAATCTTTTTTGAGTTGGAGTCTTACTCTGATGCCTAGGCTGGAGTGCAATGGCACTCATGGCCAACCCAGTGTCAACCTGCTGGGCTCCAGCGATCCTTCAATCTCAGCCTTCCACGTAACCATAACTATAGAACTTTGGGTTCTGCCCAGGTGTTCTCTGATGGGATTTGACCTGAATCGGCACTGGCTGGATCCCTCTCCATGGGCCCACCCTACCCTGCATGGTGTGAAACAGCTCATCGTCCAGATGTACAATGACCCAGTGAGTTACACACCCTGGCTAACTTTTGATTTATTGTAGAGACGAGGTCTCGACAAGTTGCCTGGGCTGGTCTTGATCCCACAGGCTCAGGCAATCCACTCGCTTCAGCCTCCTAAAGTGCTGGGATTACCAGTTGAGTCCCAGAGCCTGGCCTGGAAGAGACTCTTTAAAAGCTTATGGTCCATATTTCCATCTCCATTTAGTTGGGGAAACTTAGTTCTTGATAGAGCAAGGAACTTTCCCAGGGTCACACAGTAAGCCATTAGCAGAGCAAGGGGCCTAAACTTTTCCTCTGCACGCCCTGGGGGGATTATCCCACACTTACCAGGGATGGACTTGTCAGGTCAGCCTGGTTCCAGGCAGAGAAGCTAGACAGGAAAATCTAAATGGAGAGCCAAATGATGTTCCTGGAATTTTCTACACTATTATCTGCTTCTCACTAAAACAAAAGCAGTATTGTGATGGGGAAATTAGGTTTTCCAAGTTCCCCCAGGAGGCCAGAGGAAAGAGGTGTTTGTAAGGAGAAGGCTGAGGCCCTGGGGGTGTTCATCCTTAACTCTTCACTTCCATGCGTGCAATTGGCTCTCAGTGCTGAGTGAAGGAAGGGAAAGAACATAAGCAACATAAATGAGCACATGAATTCAAGTTCCAGTCTAAAATTTCTGGGAGTCTGGGAAACTTTGGTCTTTTGCTTTTTAATGTCGGGAGCCAGAGGCTCACCTTGGCTATTGTGTAGAAAATGGGGTCATGGGAGGTTGGGTGGGAGGAAGAAAGCAATACTCATCTAAAAATAAAAAGAAATCCTTTCCCAAAGAAGAAAACTAGTACTCTAAATCACTACTATCATCTTAGAAAATGAGTTCATTATTCAAAATAGAGAGATCAGT